TAAAAAACAATATAATATGCTTAAGTGAAATTTTAGTTCTTAATCATTATGCTGTATATTTAGATAAAGGTAATCTATTATATTTTTATGTATTTTTAATATTTAAAATTACATTATTTCAGATAATGCTTATTTTTGTATTTAATTTTTGTATAGAATTATTGCAATTTATAAAAAATCCTATGAATAAAAAGTTAGATAGAAAAATAATTAATAATGAAATTATATTTTATTTAAACATTTCAAAAATGTTAAGTAGTAATAATAAAGAAAAAGAAAAAAAAAAAAGGTTTGGTAAAAAATATAATTAGACAAAAATTAATTTTATTTTTTCTATTACATTTTATTAACATTTTTATTAAATTTTTTATTAATAGTTTTATAAACAAAATGAAATTTGAAAAAGATAAATATTATGAATTTAAAAAAAATAAAGAAAGAGTATTAATTTATGGAGAAGATAAATATGAATGTTTAAATTCCACTTTAGATGCAAAATTTCCTGCAGAAATACACAAGGTACAATTATGCATTGAAATTATCATTAAGATAAATAAAAATTAATTTATATTCATATTTCAAGATTTGGAAATCATTGATACAATCTTCTAAACCAAGAAAAATACAATCATATATTTGGCCTGCTATAAAAAAAGGTTTAGATGTAATAACAATTGGAACAGCAAAATCTGGTAAAACTACTGGATATGCATTTGCTATTTGCGGACTTTTAGCTACCAATGCAAATGTAAAATATTATTTAAATTAATTATACTTTTATATTAATATTAAAAGTAATATTATAAAGTATATATATAAATCATTATATTAGAAACTTTATAATCTGTGATGACAATTATTTTTTATCAGATAATTGATAATTTTAAAATATATATATTAATTTAAAATTTTATTTATTATATTTATTATATTTTTTAAAATGCCATGTTCATATATCATATTTTAAGAAATATAAATTTTGAAACAGCTTCCTCAAGGAATAAATCCATCTGTATTAATACTATGTTCTTCTTCTTCTGAAGTATTAGAAGTTAATTTCTTATGTACAGAATTCCTACAAAATTATGAAAAAATACGATCAATTGCTGCAATTAATGGTAAATCAGAAAGATCATTAGTGGTACGTAGTTTTAAATTAAGTTTTAAATTAAATGTAAAAAGAAATAAATAAAAATATTTATTTTAATGGAATAAAAATTAAATATTCTATTTTTAGGCTGAAATGTTTAATGGGTGTCAGATATTAATTTCTACACCTAGATTTTTAGTACGTTTTATGAATAGGAATGAAAAATTAATAAATTTTAAAAATCTTCAATATTTAATTTTGGATGGTGGTGATATTATTTTGAATAAATATTATGATTCTGTAAATTTCTTTTACATTTATGATAATTTTTTTATTTTTATATTTATTTAAATATAATGAAATATAATTTTAGGTAAATCATTTATTTAAGAAATATAATATTTCTAATAGAGAATTAAAAAATAAAATGTTACAAATTATAATAACTGCAGCACATTGGACACCGCAATTAAAAAAAGTTGCTTTTATTTTAATGGATAATCCATGCATATGTATAGCATCTTTTTTAGAAGCTGCAATTTTTAAATCTGTACATATAAATATATATGTAATAAATTCAAAAAAAAAAAATGAAAAACTCTTAGGTAAAACATAATATTTTAAGATTTTTATTTACAATAAAATTAAATAATTTAAAATCATTTTATAATAGATTTATTAAGTAATGGATATTCTTATATAAGAACTATAATTATTTGTACAAATAATGATGAAGCTGAAAAATTATATAACTTTTTACAAAAACATATAGAAATTCTTTTAGCTCATGGAAATATGAATTTTTTTCAATTACAAGGTAGGAATGTATTTAAGAATTTCAAAAATTTCAATTTTTAATTTTATTATTTTTAAATTTAATATTTTTTATTTCAATATAGATATTAAACAATGTTGGAATGTTTGTATAAGTGGTTCTTATCCAATTTTAATATGTACAGATGATATATTATCTGATATAGATATTACAAATGTAACTTGGTTGATACATTATTCAATTCCCTTACATTCTAAGACTCAATTTAATTTTCGATTTTCAACACTTATAGAAAATTTACAAATGGTACAATTATTTTATATCAATAATTTTTTGCATAATTTAATATAAAATAATTTTATTTAATAAATTTATTTAAGGAAAATTGTAATTGCAAAGTAACAATAATGATGGATGAAAATAATGATATACAATTTTTACATGTAATGAAAATTATGCAACGTATGAATATTACAATTCCTCAAAATATATTAGAAAATATTAAGGTATCTATTAAAATAATTTAATAATTTAATATATATAAATACATATAATAAAAATTTGGAAATAATCATATTTTTGCATGAAATAAAAGATTTTATTGTAAATATTATACAAATAATTACTTATTAAAATAATTATTATAATACAAATTGATAATTTAGGTAAAGAAAAAATAATAAATAAAATATCTAAAATTTGTTTAGTAGTAATAAAAAAAAAAGACAATCATTTTAATGAATCAAAAAATTGATTTTAATTTATATTCATTTAAGATTTTGTTTCTTGATATTTGTGTCATATATTTAGTATTTATTTTTATTACAATGTCATATTTAGCAAATTTATTGTTTTAAATTTTAAATTGTATTAAATTTTTAATAAGAATATTCATTAATTTATTATGGTACAAATTTGTTTTAAAAATTTGTTAAGTTTATAACAAATGCATTAGAAAAGAAAAAAGAAAATTATCCTATTTGCGACAATATAAAGTCCTGGGGATTTTGTAATAAACAAGTTTCGTGTGCATTTAGACATAAAATAATTTCAAAGATTGATATACCACTCACAAATATTCAAATGTAAGTAATGTAAATATGTAAAAAATTAATAATTTTAATCAAAAAATTTTAATTAATAAATTTTTGGATATTATTTTAGAAATGATAAAGTGAAATTCAGAGTAGTAAGTATACTTGATGCCACACATGTTTCTGCTAGAATTATATCGTATATTAAATTTGATACATTAGAAGAAATAGAATTTCCTAATACACAATATATGTTAATTAGCAGAAGTATTCAAGAATACTATTCTTGTGCAAAAAATAGGTTAATATATATATGAAAATATGTTTAATGATATTTTAAAAATTATTTAATATATTTATTTATATTTTATTTTTTTTTTTTTTTTTTTTTTTTT